ATACCAAACATGTTTGCAAGTTCATCACTAGAGTTAATAATGAGTAGCGCCACTCCCATTTCCAGTTTATGGCTCTCAGATCTGTGAAACTTGGTTATTGGGGAAACAATACTAAATACTGCATGCTGGTTTAGAACACATATAGTCGCCTGGAGAGCATTGCTCCAATTCTGCAAGCCAAAGCATTACCATTAAATGGGCATCATAACTGTGGTTTTGAGACCTGCCCCATCATTCCATCAAGACAGCTCCTTCAGGATGATAGGAAACCTGGTCAGATGAGTGAATACTTTAAGCTTGAGTCCCTGAAACACGTCATTTGCTCTGAAGTGAGTCCTTTGCTCTGAAACTATTCTGTGTGGGATATTATGATGATAGTTAGAGGCTTTCTCTTAAGTCTCTGGAGGAGAATTTTGGCAGAAGCATTGTGTATAGAGAAAGAAAATCCATATCCAGAGTAAGTGTCTATATCTGTAAGAAGAAAATGCTACCCTTTCCATTATGGAAGTAGTACAATGTAATCAGTTAGCCACTTGGTTGCTAACTCATCTTCCTGAGGAACAGTTCCATTTTGTTGACTCACTGTTGGTCTCTGCTGCTGGAATGTTGGACTCTAGTCAAGTTCATGTTGCTAAACTCATGCTGTCCCAGTCATCATGGCCATTTTATCAAAGAACTCATTGGGCAATGGCACATATAACAGCAGAAAGGATGACTGATTTCCACAGAAAGTGTGCTATACCCTGATCCTGACAATTCTTTTTTGTCTAGGTAACATTCTGATGATAATTTACATAAGAAGAATTATCATCATGTATTGATTTATTCAGTGTGGTCTATCTGCATACTTCTTTACCATAAGTCCTTGTCACTAATTTTTCAATCATTGTTCTTCAAAGTCTCTAATCCAGTCAAGCCTTGGCCACAGCCTTTGAAAAATATACATCCATACATCTGTCTATTTCTGCTTCCAAGCAAACTGTGCAGAACTATGAGTTAGATTACTCATATTTATGCACATTTAGAGACTGTCTTTTCACTACTGCCCTGAAGGAGATCCCCCAAAGTAGCTTAGTACTGTTATTATCTACTTTCAGGTGGTTTCTGCTTTACATGATTCCTCTTCCTAAGTCAGCTGGTTATAAAGAACTCCCCATGAGTCAGACTGGGACACTAATATGACAGGAGTGCACACCATGGGCTTTTGTGCCATTTCTTCTTGAAATTTCCTTGTACCTTCAGGTAATGCTCAAACCTGATCAAATACATACCATTTGCACTTAATGATGGAGTGTCTTTGCACATCCAACTTTTAAATCTATGGGTCAGGCAACATACAGTTCATGAAAAGTAATTCAGACTGCATGGTAACTTTGTGGGCCCCATTTATACACTCAGTTTCTACTAATTCCCAATGTCTTGTCAAAAGTTTTTTCTCAAAAGGAGAGTATTTATCTGAAATGGATGATAGAACTTTCCCCAAGAAAGGGTTTGTGCTATCATAAGAGTGTGCCAGAGCTTCAAGCCACCTCTCTGTCTCCTACTGACACTTCAGACACAATTGGATCACCTGGACCATCCATGGCCAAAGTGTGGGGACAGTTCGCATGGCAGACTGAACCTTCTTTTGTCCTGGGTCCCATTCAACACCAGTGGCTTCTCAAGTCACTTGATAACTAGGGTAGGATAGCACACTAAAATGAAGGTTATATTGGCACCAAAACTGAAACATGTGCTCCAGACCGTGTGCTTTCCTTTATTGTTGTGGAAGTGACCAGACATAATTACTTAGCATTCACTTTGGCAGTAATATCTTAACCTACTCTACATCACTGGACTCCTAGAAAATTTCCTGAGGTAAAAGGCACATGAATTTTTGCCTAGTCAGTGTACTGGCCTCTAGCATACACATCTTATTAATGTGTAAAAAATCACTTGATACTTCTTCACTGGTCCAATCAGCATCTTGTGGGCAGGAAGGCAGCCAAGTTTCTTGCAAAGTGACTCATGGCATAGAAACTGAGGAGTTGATTGAGATAGGACAGTGAAGTGCATTGTTGGCCACTCCAGCTGAAAGCAAATTGCTTTTGTGATCATTAAAAACAGAAATTAAGAAAAAGTCATTGGCTAGGCCAATAGCTGGATACAAGTTACCAGGAGATGTAATAATGTATTGAGAATGAAACTATATCTGGAACAGCGCTGTAATTAATTGGGTCATCATCTGGTTCAATTCATGATAATCCCCTGTCATTTCCCAAGATTAGTTCTCTATTTGGGGGAGGGGTTTAAATGAAAATGATGGGAACCATTACCCACACTCCTTTAATATCTTGATAGTGGCATTAATATCTGAACTTTTCCAGGAATGCAGTAGTGCTTTCAGTTTACTATTTTCCTATGCAAAGCCAGTTTCAATGGCTTCCACTTAGTTGTTCTCAATATAATGGCCCTTAATCCACACGTCAGGGATCCAATGTGGACTTTCTGCCAGTTGCCGAGTATGCCTATTTTATTCTGCATTGTGGCCGTGAGGAAATCACTGCAGGATGGTCTGCGGCACCCACAAGACTGACTGTGAGATGGACCTGTGATCAGATTCCATTAATAAAGTGACACCATGTGTCCCCACTCTTGAAGGTGAAGCCACAAGGAAATTTGATCCTCTCAGAATGTGTCAATTCAAGCGTCAATGTCCAGTTATCCCTGAAGTGTCTGGTCAATGTCTGTTCCCCAATAAAAACACACTCTTGTAAAAGACCCAAGGTCCCTTTGAAAAATCTGGGAGGAAGATTAAGATCATGAAAATTGCATTGCACGTGTGTCCTTCCCCAAAGAGACTGTGCACCTGTACATTGGCTCAAGACTGGGAATGCAGTGAGCAGCTACGGTACTTTATTCTAGCATTCAAGTTAGATTGTTATGCATTAGACCTAGATTTTTTTCTACTTCAATAACTGGATAAATATTTATTAGATTTACTTATCTTCCACTCTTTGGAGTGCTATGCCTAAGGAGCCAATGACATATCCAATATTCTGATAACTGCTTTTAATCTGTTGTTTGTTAAGGCAACCACACCCACCTTGTTTTAGTAGATTAAGTACTACCACTTGGCCCCTACTACGCACAGCAGGGTTAAATCAGTCTCACTGTAGTTCAGTGTCTTAATTCAATTAGGACCAGTCTCAGGACCAAACGGGACTTACCATCCATACCAAAACGATCACAGTCTTCAAGGACCTAGGGCTGCATTTGAAAATGGGTTCCTGACCTTTCTGACAAAAAGTATGTTTTCTGAGCATGCCATGTGAGACTCTCTGGTTCTATCCTAATAAATCCACTCTAATAGCAGTGCTTCTAAGGCTTTGGATACCTTCTTTGACAGTATAATAAAGGAGTTTGGGTATTTGCCTCCTGTAAATCAACCATATAGTATCTATTAAATCCTTTCATAATCTCTCAACCTGAAACTTTAAATGATAAATCTGTTTACTAGACCCATATCAATAATCTGTGACTAATCCAACTTTATGTTCCTTGTAAAACTATCCCATGGTCTTAAAGGCTATATCATGATATGCTTCAGAATTTGGGTGGGGGGGGTTTGTACATGTTGGGGTGTATCAAAAAGTTTGTCGGAAGTGGGATTAAAAGATACTGGGGGGGTTCTAATATAAGAAAATTCAAGCCATTCTTTTGGAGTGTAATGTCCATCTTCAGAGGCCATATTCTGTAGTAAACTTTTTGAAATTTTCTGGGACTTAAGTCTAGTTATAGGCTTAGTGGCAAAATATGGGTAGTAAATCCTACTAAATAGCTCATCAGGTGTAGCTGGGTTAATCTCATCACATGACGGTCAGAGGACTAGCCCTGGTAGCAGAAGTAATACAATTTAGGGACTGACTGACACAACCCCCTGATTGTGTGCCCATCTGTCATGATTGCAAATTTTAGAATCTCCTTTCATCCCGATGAGTGCCTTAACTTTAACTAAAGACACAGTTTAAAAATGGCACATCAATTGGTGTTTTAATTTAGATACATAATTTTACCAAAAGACTTTGGGTTTGACTTTTGACAAATATTTTTGCTGCAAGAAATAAGGCTTTTTTTTTTCTGGTCACAAATGGCTACTTTGAGATCCTTAATGTAACCCTTAAGCTGTGACTCTTAAACTTGACATTCTTTTATTTGTGTTGAGTCTTTTATTCACATATTATTTTTTAATAAACATTTTAAAACATTTTTGTCCATATAAGTTTGGAGTTAGAATAATTAATACTGTTCTAGTTCATGCAGATGTCTGGACTTGTATTTTCTTTATAGTAAAGTAGTAATGATAATGCCAGTTTCTTAGAGGTTTGAAAGGATCAAATTGTTTCTTGTAGGAGAAATGTTTTACATGTTGATAATAGTGATAATCTATGCAAATTTAAGAACAAGTAATATTCTTATGTACTATCATTTCAAGTTAACTCATCACTTGACAAAGTCCAGAAGAAATGAAAATTATATCATAGACAAGTATTTTTCTTCTCAATAAGTGGAAACATTGAGCTGATATATAGATTAATATGAAGAACGTCAGGGCCTACATTGTTAACAGAAGGGTACTAAATGTGGTAAGATAATAATAACAGAAATATGGTAGGTTTTTAGAAGAACGTATCCTACTTCAGATTGAACCAAAAATATATTATCTTGACAATAAATTATCATGATTGAAATCATAGATGTTCAAGAGGTAAACATATGTTATATCATGATTTGAGTATGCAAAATGTTTCCTGAAATATGTTAGACTCTTGAAAACTAACTTTAACTAATTTGACATGTACTATTTGATGTTTCCTGCTGGAATTTCTACTTTAAGCAACTAATGTTGAAAACTGATATGTATTTGTTTGGGTAATGATTGTGGGTTGGAGGAAGAGAGGAAGCAGAGACACGGTGACTATGAACACATGTAAAACACTTGTCCCTTTGTGCTTCCCTAGGAGTCCCAGATCAAAGCTATGAAAGAGACAGTACAGCTGTGCCTGACCTCTGTTTTTCGTGATCAACCTCCTCCTTTGAATCTGATCACATCGAATCCAACTCAGATGTTACTTCCACCCAAGACAATTAACACTAAGATTCCAGACTCAATGGCAAAAAATAAGGTATACTTTATTTCAGCTTTGAAAACTAAAATCAAATACTGTGCTGCTATGAAAGATTAGGAAGTAAATGGAGATAATAAGCAAGCATGTAAGATCTAAATAGTTGCTTTGAATGCATCAAGACTCAACTTCTCTTGACAGCTGTTTCGAAGGTAAGATAACATGAGTATATAAATCAATAAAATATAGCTCATATCATATTCCAATATCCACCACTAATTTGGTATGAGATACATTTTTTCTGGAGTATAAATATCATTACAAGCATGGATAAATGTTTTTAAGCTCATAATTTTTAACCCTAGTTATATAATAAAATATTTGGTAAGATTATTTTTTTAAACCCTAATCATGGGTTCAAAACCTATAAAATCAGATTGTTTGATGATAGACTGAATGCCTCTTCAGTTTTAAAAAGCTCTCACATGATTTTAATGCGCATAAAATCTAAGAACGACTGAAGTCAGAAAAAGTATCTTCCAAATTAAATTCCCACTATCACCAATCTTTAGTCAAAGCTAAGGAACATTCCAGTGCAAACATTTCTGTCTTTGGAAATTTCCATTTGCTGACTAATTTTTTCAGTGACTACTGACAACCAGAGATCATTATGGAAGAAAAGAGTTTAGTTTCAGGCAGTGTACTTGAAGGTGGCTCTCAGATCATTTGACAATCATTTGCAGTTAAAGTTCTGTATTTACCAACCCAGCTTCCAAATACAGAGTTCTGGAAGTGGGGCCAGACAATCTGAGGACCAGTGGTGCCCATTCCCAGTGATGAGTTCTGTCTGGGAATCTCCCTGATGATTGCTTTGACTCTCTGTATTTACCATAACGAGGGAGCATGAGAATTGATATATTAGGAAAATAATATTTTCAAGATAGACAGCAAAAATAAAAGTTAAATTACATAAATGATTTAATGCTGATTTTGACTGAACTAGTTGAAAATAACTAGCCTTGGTGGAGAAGGCTCTTCACTAGGAGCAAAGGTGGGCAACAGGAACCCAACAGCTGCTTTGGGGAGAGAGATATGGAATTCTGTCAAAATAATTTAAAAGTATATGTTTCCATTCTGCCTCGTAATATTCTTTGATATTGTTTTAGACAGAAGAGCTTCTAAAAATGTTTAAGCCATGTTTTCTACTTATTCGTCCTCGCCTTTAAAAAATCTAGGCCTAAAGGTGCTTTATTTCACTGAATTGAGGCATAAAAGTACACATCAGTGTTCTGTTGTGCTGTTCTAATGTGCATAGAAATTCTGAGTGAAATCTTTGAAACTGGTCATTGGTAACAGTAATGGTTATCGACCCTTCTTCCCTTCACCTGCAGAAGAGGCTCCATTTTGTGTTGCGCCGAAAGAACAGAGCAGAGTCCATCTTATTAAGGCTTTGGACAGGTGGTTTTGTAATTCTATGGACATGCCCCATCTGTTTCATCTCAGAATACATTTTAAGAAACCCATCATTAACTCCGGACTCTTTTGACCCTGCAAATGTAGAGAAATTCTTAATTTTGTTTTGACTTACTGTGAATAAATGCATGACTTATCATTGCAATAGGTAATAAATAATTATTTCTCGTTATTTATTTTAGAAAATGAAAGGAAACATTTGGTTGAGAATTTTTTGAGAAGCATCCATTTTTCAAGAAACTAACAAAAAATGCAATTCTTTCAGATGAAGTTCAATAAATCTAAGTTAAAGCACAACAGAGCATTCTATTTTGCAGATTAACATTAAAAGCTTGCCTGGTGTTTTTATGTTATGCCAACATTCTTTATCATTTCAATAATGGAGAAAATTGTATTTTACGCACAAGTATGCTGGCAACTTAATCTCTATTCATGCACCTTGGAGTCAATATTAGAAGGATCCTGAGTAATATAGTGTGATATAAGATGTGCCTAAGAGAAGCAAACACTGCTGGCAAGGGATGTGTCTTATTGACACATAAAAAAGTAACTTTTTCAAGTAAGTACACTAAATTAACCAGTCTTCAGAGCAGGCTAATTGTAGCCAGGGCAAGATCAGGTGCCTGATTAAGGTCTGTGAGACCATCATGTCATTCATCAAACCATCTCTCTGTGCCTCAACTTCCTCAGTGTGTACACCTTAATGTTGTTAAGAAATTGGCATTAAAACTTTTTCAATGACTATTTTCTAAGACACTTTATTAGTATTTGTGTCTTCTTTCAATTATTTAAATGACTTCTGTAACGTTCAACACTTATCTAGATAGGTAGATATATGAATAATTTTCATGTCCAAGTAAACAGATCCACGTGAACAATACGCAATCCACCTGTGAAAAAGACAAAATTACTCCCTTGTGTTATTTTCAGTTGGATTTTTTTTTCCTCCCAGATTTGGAGAATAATTTCAAATAATGTATTTCTAACACATAAGGTGGCTCAGAGAGAACACATAAAAATAATTTATATAGTTGTAACCCCAGAACGCCTCATTTTCTTTCTTTATTAATATTCTGGAGCATATTTATATTGCAAATCTTTGTAGTCGAGTCTCTGTGAAGATTTCTCAGCCAGATCTATGGGCTTACTTTCCATAATATCTATAGTAGATATACTCACTTTTCTACAACTGAAAATAACCATTATATACTTGCCCTGTTTTCATTACTTATTCCATTCTCAGGGCTCGGTTACCACTGTGTTTGGTTCTCATGGCTCTTGATCATGTCTCAATATCTTAAATAGAGTGATGTGCATGTCTCTCCCACAGGGAGATGACTTCTTAGCTCATTGATCTCTCTACTATTCAATGTTCAGGAGATTCTCTGTACAGAATTCATTTCAATTGACATGTGCTATCTGTCTTCCTGTGAAGCCCCGGTGGTGTAATGGATTCTGTGTTGGGCAGCTAACCCACGCTGTAAATATTTATAAGAAAATAAATGGGATGTTTCTGTTCTGTTCTATGGGTCATTTTGTGTCATAATTCACTCAATGGCAGTAAGTTTGGCTTTTTTGTTCGGTCTTTCTTCCTGAAGTGTCCCTCGTGGTGCCTTGACTTGAGCATTGGGCTGCTAATTATAAAGTTGATGGTCCTACACCACAAGTCTGCTCCCATAAAGATTGACAGTCTCAGAAACCCAGGGGCAGATCTCTATCTTAAAGGGTTGCTGTGAAAGTGAAATCAGCTTAATGGAAGTGAGATCACTCTGGGTGCCTTCTTTGGGGTCACTTTTCTCATCTGGAATTCAGTAAATAAATATAAATATAAATATAAATATATATATATATATATAATTGAATGTTTATTATATGCTTAGTACTGAAAGAAAAAAATTGTTTCTCAGCTATATTCTACACTGTCACTAGAGATGGAGTTTGAAATGACAAAAATGAAATGATTTATGGGAATTGAAGTAAAATTGACTGTATTTTATTTTTGTTGTTATTTTCTCCTCCTGCTCCTCCATTTCACTCTTTCAATCTCTCTCACTCTCTCTCCCCACCCCCACCTGTGTTAATTCATCTTGTAGAGGGGTCATTATTCTTTTCATCACTGCCCCCCAACTTTACCAAGCATGATGTCCTTTTCCAGGGACTGGTCCCTCCTGATAACCTACCCAAAGTATGTGAGACAAAGTCTTGCCATCCTTGCTTTTAAGGAGCACTTGTTTGTTCTTTTGGCAGTCATGGTACTTTCAATATTCTTTGACAGCACCATAACTCATATGCATAGATTCTTTTTCATTCTTCCTTTATCAACGCGAAAATTTCACATGCATATGAAGAAATTTTAAATATCATACCTTAGATCAGGCACACCTTAGTCTGCATATTAACTTCCTTGCTTTTCAACACTTTAAAGTGGTCTTGTGCTGCAAATTTACCCAATGCAATGTGTGATTTGATGTCTTGGCTGATTCTTCTATAAGCATTGATTATGGATCCAAACAACACTGAGTATACAGAGAAAACAAAATAAAACAAAAATACAGAAGATTATCTAAATAGTATATCAACTAATCTCTTCACCAAACTCAGGACAATTGGGTTGGATACCCAGTAAGTGAATAATGCACTTGCAACTAGCACAAAGTGAGGATTTTTGAATGGAGATGCAATATGTGAAATCTCTACTACCACTGGTAAATAAATGTTGGAAATAGAATAGATTACCTGAGGAAAATGTTTATAGCGAGAGGATACAAGAAATCTGAAGGAAATCAGATAGAATAGATTACCTGAGGAAAATGTTTATAGCGAGAGGATACAAGAAATCTGAAGGAAATCAGACATAAGAAAAAATGGAAGTATGATGTCATGTATAATCTAAAAGCTGGAACATTTTCAGTTCCCTTATTTTGCTGAGATACTCTCCATTATTTACTGGTGTTGAGAACCAGAATCCACTCAATGGCAGTCTGTTATTGTGTATATTTATAATGATGAAATCATCAGTATCCTGAAGCTAGCTCGTACCATCTTGTGAGCCAGCTGCTAAATGTTCATAATTTTTGCTAATTAAATGTTAAACACAGTCATTATCAAATATGTATTATAGTCATATACAAATAATTATATTATCATATAATTATAAGACACATTATAAAAATAAAACATGGCAAATATGCAAAAGTTTCCAATTGTTTACTACATCACACTATAATCTTTGCTCAGTGGCCTTGCTAGGCTTGGTGTTACCCAGGTCAGTAACTCATGACATCACCAGCCATACATTGCTATAAATTTTAATAATAGAATAATACATAATAAATATAATTGTGGATTCTTAAATGTGCTATTTCTTGGATTATATGAATACTCAAAATATTTTTTTGAAAACTTTCTACATTGAGTTACATTACTAGTAGCAAAGACAAAGTCTTTAAAAATATTTTTCCTAATTTTCTTATAATTACTACTTAATTCTTAAAAAATATCAGAATAAGGTCACTGATATTAATTATCATAATACTGTAGCAAAAAACACCAGGAGTTTGAAAAAAATTAGCTTTGAAAATATTAGC